TGCAAAACTACATACAGGAGAGGAAATGATACTGCCAATTCAGAATTAATCTTCATCAGAAAATTTGGCATCCGTCACTTACAAAAATCTTTCCTTGATAGAGTTATAAGAGCTGTAACATACTAAGGAATCTATAGTGACCCAGGCAAAGGCCTGTTGGACTTAAAGTTCATCAAATGGTGAGAAATGCCCCTTCTTTCATTCCTTCCTTCCTGTTCACAGTGTGAAATACATTACTATTCTCTCAGTGTAATACTGGTAAGGAACAAGGGTGACATCCCCCCATGAGTGGGTGTTTTAGTTACAACTTTGTATAGGTCTGTTGTAAGCTGGACATTCCAGGGGATGGTATATGTCATAATCTCACTTAGTTGATCCTTTGAGATCTCATTATCTCATTATGAGGCAGCTAAGGTTCAAAAGAGTTAAGAGACTTTTCCTAATGTCACTTGGTGTTATGGGATTTGTCAGTAGGGGTTTGCTTCCAGGACAGTTCATCACCCAAGTCTATCCCCTATCCTTAGTCAACAAACATCTCCCTCAAAAATAAGTATACTAACCAAAAAGAAAGAAATGAAGAAGAACCATTCAGACTTAACCTCTTATAAACTCAAGAGAACCTTGAGGAAAATCTTTGCCATAAAATGCCAAGAACTGTACCTGTTGGGCATGATAGTACCTTAAAGGACATTGAGAATTAACCTTGTTGTGGTTTGAAAAGAATGTAGGTTGTCATTGCATTTTTTTTTTTTTTTGGTACCAGGGATCGAACTCGGGACCTTGTGCTTGCGAGGCAGGTGCTGGAACCACTGAGCTAAATCCCTGGCCCCCGTCACTGCATTTTGTGACAATCTTCTATTATGAAAAAATGCTTAATATATAAATGAAAATATATTACTTTCACAAAGTTTTATCTTAGCATTAACTATTATAAAGTCCAGTGGAGAAGGAGGATATTTGAATGAAATATTGGAAATAGCCTAAAATTCTCTTTCATAAAAATTTATAACAATATATCCAGGATTGAAGCTCAGTGGTAAACCATATGTTTAGCATATCCAAGGCTCTGACTTCATTCCCCAGCACCAAAAAGAAAAAGAAAAAATGCACTGCAAAAGTGTTCACTTTCTAAGTATCTCCCTCCAAATACTTTCAGATTTTCAAAGTGAGCTATAAGAAATTCCTATAATTAATAGGAGGAGACCTTGTGCAATAGAATAGTACCAAGAGTATGGAGACATCTTCCCATGCAAAAGGAAAGCATAAGCCAGGTGACAGAAAATATGAATATAAAATTAGAAATAGGATTTGTGAACTTTAGAGCCAACAGAGATTCTGAGCAGATTAAGTTTGGGTGCCATTATCCTAAGTGCTTGACTAAATGACTGGAAAGTCTTTTAATGTAAGTAATTGTAGTTTTTGGTATAGTAAAATATATTATATTCACTTACCTTTGGTGTTCTCCTGTATAATAAAAAGATTTTTTCCTTATATGTTAACCTAAGAAAGCAACTACACAGTCCTTATCTTGAGATGTTTTGGTAGGTAAAATTTTTCATTCTGTTTTACCCCTCCCCCAAAATTATTGAAAAAGGAAGAAATTATTTTTTAAATACAAAGATATCTTTTAGATTTGCTACTCTCAAATGTCTCTATTGCTAATTTTACCTTTAAATAATTAGTTTTAAAAGAATTAGTAGAAGCTGGGCTTGGTGGTGTACACTTAGAGTCAGCACTTTGAGTGTTGAGGCAGGGGGATCACAGGTTCTAGTCCTGCCTGGGCAATTTAGTAAGTCCCTGTCTCAAATAAAAATGGACTGATGATGTAGTTCACTGCAAAAGCCCTAGGTTCAATCCTCAGGACCACAGAAACTAAAATAAAAATTTTAAATATAACAAGTCACCAACTTACAAATGTTCGAGCTGCCAACTTTCACAGGTATACTGTATAAAATTCACTTTGTGAGTACAAACAGATCCAACTTATGGACTTTCTCCTGGAACAGAACTCATTCACAAGGCAGGGACTTACTGTAGAAGAATTAGTATGTCACCTAGAGGGCTTGTGCCGAAAAGCAGACAAAATGGTTTTACTTAGTGAATGCTTTCCTTGAAAAAATGCATAGATTTTTAGGAGCCTCAGTCTCACTGTTTATAGTACAGCATTTTTTTCCCATCTTCAGTCTTCATGCAGAGCCTAAATATTCCCTAGGTTTTCCTGGGGAGATAAATGTCCAAGCAATGGAATGAAATAGAGTTCAAAGTTATATTGAGTCTCTTCAGATTGTCTCTGTGTTGCCATCACCATCTCTTTCAGTCTTTCTTTTCTTTTATTTGTTCCTTCAGCCTACTGCTTCCTATCAGCTCAGCTGTATGTCATGATAATAAACAGCTAACTACTTAGAGTGTATGTATGTTAGCTGAATCATTCCTACAGTTATAAAATTAAGGCAATAGAATTAAATCCCGCTTACTACTAAACCAAAGAATATAATCAAATATTTATTTTTATGTTTTCCACCTAAAATATGCATAAATTATATGAATTTAAGGATATTTAAATCAGCAAACCTGAGGAAGAAATAATCACTCATAGTGACCTCTGTGAAAATACAGCCCTGTATATCTCTTGAGAGCACACAGACCTGATATCCCCAAGAATGTTTTCATTAGAGACCTTTAAAGACAAATATATAAGACCCTCGTAGCTGTCTTATATCTTTGTACTCTACCATAGCATTCCAAGGTTTTGCCATGATGAAAGATTTCATTCTTCCTCAGAATCCATTGTGCCTCTCCATGTTCCTGATGTACACAGCATCCTTTCTTATAAAACCAGCTCTTACCACCTATTCAGAATTTTCAGCCCAAACTCAAACAACTTGTATTAAAAGTTTGATCACATTCATGATCAACCTCTTCGTCTGCTCCCTCCTTCACATGACCCATTTCCATTGTCTTCTGACTATGTATATACATCCAGAGATCCATTTTAATAGAACTGTATGCAATTACAGCTTCGTGGCACTGTGTAACTCAAGCCAGCCCACATCTGCTGCAAAGCCAAGTTAATAGAGCTCAGAGTCACAGACCAGGTCTCCCTAAGGAGATGAAAGTCATTCTGACCTGTTCACCAAATTGCTGCCTCAAAGATTCTAGTATTCTAAAAAGTTTTTCAAAGCAAGTTTTTCTGAGTGTTCACAGAATAGTGGCTATGATTCAGTCCCTGTGCTTGCTGCACTCCTTACTAAAAGAGGCCAAACCTTTGGGCCATTCTAACTCCAGAATGTTGCTCAATGGTAGAATACTTTCCTACCACAAACAAGGGCTGGATATTCGATTCTCAGCACTGCAAATAATAATAATAATAATAATAATAATAATAATAATAATAATAATACAAAGTAAATCTAGACAGGCCATTGTCTTAGTCTGGCTGCTATAGCAAAATACCTTAGGCTGGATAGTATTTTATAAACAACAGAAATTTATTGCTTGCAATTCTGGAGACTGAGAAGTCCAAGATTTGGTGCAATGGTTTTCTGCTTCAAAGATGGCACCTTCTTGCTGCCATGCAGCAGAAGGAACAAGCTAACTCTCTTCAACCCTTTCTTGGGTTAAGGGAAAGGTGGGACTTAAATCCAGGGCCTTTGCACTGAGCTACATCCCCAGCCCTTTTTTATTTCTTATTTTTAGACAGTCTCAATAAGTTGCCCAGGTTGTGCTCAAACTTATAATCCTCCTGCCTCAGTCCCCCAGAGTGCTGGGATTATAGGCATGCACTACTACACCCAGCTCCTCAACCTCTCATATAAGAGCACCAATACCATACATGAGGGTAGAGCCCCAAAAGGCTTCATCTCTTCATACTGTCACTTTGGGTGTTACGTTCCAACTTAAGAATTTTGGAGGAAGACCAACATTCAGATCATAGCAGCCATCAGAAGTAAGTTCACAGAGAAAATCAGTTAATCTAATGGATCGCTGCATTCTTTTGTAAAGTAGAGCAAGAATCTTAAGACACAAAGCAATCTGAATACAGGATCCCACAGGCAGTAGCTTGTGAAGCATCAGATCTCTGAAGTGTCCTTCACAGAGTCCCATGTTGTTTCTCCCTAGAGGTTTAGTTGTATTGATGGAGCAAAGAGAATACTAGTAACCAAAATAAAAGTATTATGGCAAAAGTGAAGCAAACAGGCTTTAGAGCTGGTTAGAATTTTAAGTCTGCGATTTTTTTGTGTTAAGTCATGTTACATCTTCAACCCCATTTCTTCATTTGAAAGTAGGGATAATAATAATACACTTCTCCAGGAATTTTTTTGGAAATAAATGAGATCATGTGTGGGAACACTTGGCACCATGCCAGATAAAACATTCACGCTCAATAAAAGATGGGTGCTAAGATTCCATTTTTTAAAATTTGTGTATGGACTGAAGGTGAGGCCAGCCCAGCTACTTAGTGAGTTTGAGGCCAGCCTGAACTATATAGCAAGATCCTATCTAATATAGCAAGATCCTATGTCCAAAAAAAAAAAAAAAAATGACTTGCTACAGGAGGGACCAATGGAAAGAGAGAGGCCCAGGGGGAAGCACTGTAATAAACAGTGGTGCAAAAGATGCCCTGAGCAGGTGCTCACCAAGAAGCACTTCAAAAAGTCCTACCTTCCCGTGGTGTGAGATTAGGACCGTGGTGTGTTCTACCTCGCAGTTCGGTTGAACTCTGAACCCTGTAGCTGATGGTATACTATTATTGCTAAGCCTGCAAAAATGATGCCCATGATTGTTATACATGAGGCAGGTACCACCAGATTCTCATGAGAGATCTTTATCTTAGAGGATATACAAGGACAACCTTCAGTGATCAGTGGAAAGATGTCACAGTTCTTTATTTCTTCCCCAGCCGTGGAGAATGTTACTCCTGTTAAGCAATGATAATGACAAATTTGACTGCATGTAACCTGAGAAGATTCCTTATACATGATATATCTTTATTCTTCTAGGCCTCTTTTTCGTGGAAGTTCAGATGTGGATCAACTAGGAAAAATCTTGGAGTAAGTCATAACTACATCAGTATCCATAACATTGAAAACATTTCCAGTTACTTTCCTGTGATATTCATGTATGTTTATCTCTTGTCTTTCTGACCCCACGCCGCTGCTGCAGACAGTGTTACTATGTGTGTGGTGAGTGGAGACAGTGCCCGCCGTTGAAGTGCAGCCTGACTGCTGCTCTGGAAGCTGTGTGTTGCTTGTGTGAACCTTTTTTGCCGTTCCTCTTTCTTTGCTTGGCTGAGCTCCAGCTCTTTAGTGCAGATGTGTCCTCTTCCTAGGGTCATTTCAAATGCACCCCTCGTCAGAGGTGGGCCACTTGGTGCCCTGGTAACCCATCCTGATCGCTTCTCGGCCTTTTGGCTAAGATCAAGTGTAGTAACTCATCCTTGTCCATTAAGCTTCTTGACCCTGTTGGATATATTCTTGGTCATCTAGATTTGTTTTGCATCGTTTTGTTTTGTTTTCTTGACCCAAGGATGAGATGCTACACAATCCCGTTTTTCTTTGGAGCACCAAATAGGTAATGAGAATCCTAGGTTCTCATCCTGGGACTATGGCTAAATAATCTTGAGAAAGTTGTTTAAGCCGGGGATTTAGCTCAGTGGTTTCGCCGCCTGCTGCGCAAGCGCAAGGACCGGAGTTTGATCCCCGGTGCCAAAAAAGTTGTTTAAAACACCCTGTAAAGGGCTCGCACAGTCTCTGGCACATAGTAAGTGCTTTTAAAATGTTAGTTTTTAATTCAGTGGTTCCGTCTCCTGCCTCGAAGGCGCAAGGACCCAAGTTCAATCCCCTGTACCAAAAAAAAAAAAAAAAAATGTTAAGTCGTTATTATAATTCGTCATTAATTATTTAACCTTTTTCTTCCTTAATTTCTTTGAGAAATGAAACTCTTGACTTAAGCCCACTCGTACAGTTCTTTCTTGGGCTCAAATTCTTTGGTTCCATTTTTTGTTACACACTTCCTTGATGATTTGCAGAATTCATATGTACGTGTTTGTGCATGTGAGCATATGTATGCTTTCGTGTTTCTAGAATGTAACTGGGTCATTTTTTTCTCACAAAGCATGCAGTCAGTATGGCATCTTTTTGGGGCTTGTGCATTTGCCAAGACCCATGAGAACTGGGGTGGAGCAGCAAGAAAGTGGGAGTTCTAATTCAAAATAGCTGTGATCATTGGTTTGAAACATTTAATAGAAATCCCAGTGCTTTTCATGAAATCTTAAGTCTGCAAGGTGGCAAAAATATGGCCCTAAAGAACAGAATTTGTTAGCACTATCTATTCAAGCATGACTGCTTAAAACAGCTGGAATAACACTGAAACCTGACTTTGTTCTTTTTTTGATGACTGGAAGCAGCTCCAGTAGACTTCTGAAAATGCCCATGCTGCCACTGAGTCAGAACCCAGCGACTTGAAAGCCTGAAGAACGTTTGCTAGTTTTGTTTTTTAGTTTTTGCTTGTTTTTAGTCTGGGGACTTCCCAAGTGTAGGGCAGCTGCCACTATTGGTACTGCTGGCCACCCCTGATATGGATAAAGTCAGCACAAAGCCCTCAAGTTAACCCTGCTTCTGGATGTCAAGTTCCTTGATCATTCAGTGATAAGCTCACATTTGTTTTTCCCCATGATCACTGAATATATTTTGTGTGCATATGCCTTTAAAGAGGGAACTGTGAAACTCAGACATTCTGGTGTCCCTCTGTTGAATAGAGAAAATGTCTGCACCAAAATCCACTTGCCAGGCATGGCATTCAAGGTCATCCCTTGCTTTTCCTCATTCACACCACCTGGATTTTGCTGCTCCCCCAGCACTGTGTGCGGACTTGTTAATATTGTTGATATCCCCACTTGGAAAATGGAGCCGTACAGTGGACCAGAAGGAACATTTGACCAGCATGTTTGACCTGCTTCCAAGGGAAAGCTGGTTCCACTTTGGCAGGGACATGACAAGCCTGGATTTCCAACAGAAAAGAACTTGTAAAGCTCTGTACATTTTGTGCCTATAGGTTTCATTTCTTGGTTTCTGCCACTGTTTCATCAAAATTATGTTCCGCTTCCTCAGAATGCATTACCTTCCCTGAGAAAAGGGACAGTGCTGCTCCCTAGTGTCTGCTAAAATCCGTAAAAAATGACTTCCGTTCCCACCATCACAGCCGTTTACAGATTTTGTGCTGTCAGTCTTTCCAGTATAAATGTCACCTTTTAAGTTGACAGCTGTCCAAATAGTGGAATGTGATGCAAGCACGTTTTAGTGTACCTATCAGAATTTCACAACATTCATATATGGGCCATGAAAGTTCATACTGGATATGAAACTGAATTTTTTAAAGGAAAGCTGCATTCACATACTCTCAGAGAGACAGATATTTCAGTGTTTAAGAAGATTTGTACATTCAAAAAACACAAGTACTTTGAAAGTGAAACAATACTTCTAGCCTGTGACATTTTAGAGCATTTTGTAAGAGCAGTGCCATAGTTAATGAAGATAAAATATTGGATTTGGAATTTGGAGACGGGGTTCTCTATGGGCCCTGTGACCAAACTCAGTGTGTGACTTTTGCAGTTCAGTTCAGTTCATTTCTCATTCTCTTGTTTCCCCAGCTTCAAAAGGGGACTAATATCCCTGGCCAACATGTGTCAGGATGTCCTTCCATGACTCAGATGAGGAGAAAGACTTACAGTTACATATAAAACTTTATAGAAATAGTAATTTTAAAAATATATAATCTAGTTTATATGTAATCATCTACCATACATACATTTCAGTTGACCATACTTGCAAAATTGTATCTCAAGGTATAAATTCAAACTTGGAAATAAAAAAATTTTATTTCTCAGTCATTATTATGATGAATGGTGATGATATGCAAAAATGCTGATAAAAAAGGCAAAAGCTAAAAAGGAATGAAAGAAAATTTTGAAAGATCGTTAGTAAACCATACTGTTTTTGTCCTCTGCCCTGTCCCCCAGTTCTATCCAAGCACATCATACATTTCCTTATAATTAATAGTGGTAGTTTTATTTTCTTCTGACTCAGGGGGTGCTGGGGATTTAACCCAGGCCCTTGACTATACTGAACACATGATCAACCACTGAACTACACTCCTGGCTCATTTTCTTCTCATTTCTCTCATTGCAGAGCTTGTCATTAAACATATTCATATATTGCTCAAGTTGTTGTTTCTACTCATTGGTTTCAGTAAATATGTCCACAAGACTCTTTGCCTCCATAATGTGGCTCTCTCTAGATGCCCAACTAAGGCAGAGTTAATGTCTTGTGACAGCCAGTGACAAGTGCATTGACACCCAGGGTATCTGCTCTTTCTGGGTAACGTCTAGACCCTGGGCTCTGTTAGGTAAAGGAAAGGGAAACAAAGCCCGGCAGATCCTATGACATTTACCACCAGGTCATCCTGAAGCCTGAAAATACGTTCATGAGGTCACCCCTTCCCAGGCTTTAGTCTGATTCAAAGAGTACAGACCAAGGGGAAGACTCTAATGTGGGTCAACATCATTTCTAATTGGAGTTAAAATAATTTGGTTCTGTATTTGAATAGCAATACATTCTGTCCGCTAAACTTTTTTTAGTTCAGTTACTCTGTCTTTGTAAGATATAAGTTCTTCCATCCTCTTATATACCTTGTTCAAACCTACTTACCACCGATACATAACCTATAGATAATATCTCTTAGTTTATAAATTATATAGGACTTTAAAGAACCTTTAATGACACATAAATAGGAGTCAAGCTAGTCATATTTTTAGTGTAGTGACACTACATTTCCCGTAAGACTATATTCCTATGATAATAGTGAGTTATGATATTGACTATGTTTGCAATGTTTGAAGCACTCTTACATGCTTCACATATATTATCATTCATCATCATTACAACCCTAAATTAATATCATCATTGTATACATAAAACATCAAGAGTCACAGACATTAGGTAATTCGTCCTTCCTGCCAGTAAGTGAAAGATGCAGATTTTTTAAATTTTATTTTATTTTTTTGGTACCAGGGATTGAACTCAGGACCTTGCGCTTGCGAGGTAGGCAGCAGCACCACAGAGCTAAATCCCCGGCCTGAAGATGCAGAATTTGAACCCAAATTACCTATTTCCAAAACCTGTTCTAATTTTATCACTTGCTATTTTCTCCACATTTCTGATCCCAAAATGGCCTTTAAAGGAAACATAAACAATATCCTTTTATTATTTACTCACTTTGGAATACCAAAGATGTCTTTTATAAAAGAGTGTTTGCATAAGACAGAGCTAATATACTTTCTGGCCCTGTTTTTGGGTTTTTTGTTTTTTGTTTTTGGTACGGGGATCAAACTCGGGACCTTGCAGTTGCGAAGTAGGCAGTGGAACCACTGAGCTAAATCCCCAGCCCTGGCCCTGCTTTTCTTTTTATCTGATGTCTAATGTATGTAGTTGCTGTTTGGAGAATTACTCTAACCAATAATGCAACCAAATTGATGTATTAATAAACCATATTGGATGAGTATCATGAAATCATGTCCTTTTGGACATATTCCATCAAAACCACAACAACAAAAACACTCTTGGGCAAAAGGGAAGATATTATATACCTATGTGTGTCTCCTTTAAATCCAGTGGGTCCTGTTTCATCAGTACATTAGGACTTTCCCTGAGTGTATGTTCCATTTCTACATTAGCAATTACATTTAGTTATCTGATCCCAAGTAATCTCTTATCTCCTCCTTGGGAATATTACAGCTGTCCTGTGATATGAACCTTGACCCCTGACCACCATATTGCCTTAGAGCAGAAATAAGTGCGAGAAGCTTCAAATCGTTAAAGTGAAGTTCTCTTGGGGCTCTGTGTCCCCCTTACCTGCCCCGAAGGTTTTGCATTCTGTAGACTGTAGTGAGAAAACCCTTCACATAGCAGGTGATGCTCACATTTGCATGTGGTTCTATTGTAGTGTAATTGGACTCCCAGGAGAAGAGGACTGGCCTAGAGATGTGGCCCTTCCCAGGCAGGCTTTTCATTCCAAACCTGCCCAACCCATTGAGAAGTTTGTAACAGATATTGACGAGCTAGGCAAAGACCTACTTCTGGTAAGTTCATGCAGTACATAGCTGGTCTGCACTGCCCTCGTCCTAGCCAGACTGGGTGCTGGACACGAGTACCAGTTGCAGGCATCACGCCACAGCAACACTGGGGGAGTTGGCCCCAGTCTTTGCCTGGGTTCCATTTCCAGCGGGTGGCTTTTGATTCTGAACCCCACTTTTTAATAAAGTCTGCCACCTTTGAATGTCACATTAGAAGCTTCTCTATGTACTTCTTTAGAGGTAAATATTATGTTTGCTTGTTTAAAGCTTCATGCTGCTTTAAGCAACTCGCCATTTTAACGGTACCTTTTCTAAGACAAAGATGCAATGTCACATCTTTAGGAAGATATTCTCCAAAGGAACTAAATAGCAATACTCCTATTAGTTACCAGTTTCTTTAATAAAGATTTAATGTGCCTTGCATATATAAAATACGTCATTGAAAATAAGGGCAAAAAGAAAAGAAAAGAAGGCAGGCGTGGTGGCACAGACCTATAATCCCAGAACTTGGGAGGCAGAGGCAGGAGAACTGCTTTGAGTCTGAGGCCAGCCTGCACCACATAGTGAGAACACTGTCTCAAAAAAAAGAAAGAGAGAGAGAGAGAATAGGACTTCTGTGCTCGTTTGAGATTTAAAATCATAATACTTGACCTTATACACAATTTCCCTATACAGAAGAGGGTATCTATTGGGCTTCTCTTGATGTTGGCCCCCAGTGAGTAATAAGTGTATCCTTTACATCTTGAAATAAGAGACTTTGATATCTGCCTCAGCCTGTGGATCCAGTTCAGGTCTTCTCCATGTGTCTTATTCTGCACCCACGCCAGAGAGGCAGCAGCTCCCTCAGGCATGTTTTTCTCATGCAGCAGATAGATGCTCCCACACAGGCAGGCAGAAACACACATTGGCCCTGAGGCCTGTGCTTGGGAGAAGCGCCCTACTACTTCTTGCCACATTCCCCTGGCCAAAGTATGTTACGTGGCCAAGCCAACTTCAACCAAGGAAGGAATGCTGCTCCTGTGGAAGAACGCAATAGAAGGGAATATCTACTGAAAAAAAATTCATTCTACCACAGTATTCAAGTCTTGACTAAGTTATGATTCTAAAAGCTCGCTTTGTAAGTCAGCATTTTGGGGCAGAAGTAATACTATCACACAGAGTTTTTGAGTTGAGTCTTATGCAACCTACCTTATAACTTAAAGTAGAGCAATAATAGAACTTAACCACTTTTTCTAACTATATCTATAGGACTATATCTATAGTATTAAACACTTCCCCTTGAAGTTTATACATCCCCACATTTGGCTAAGGAACTCTCCTCTCCCAGTTCTTACACCATTGGTGTAGCTGCAGGGGAAGGGCTTTCTCTGAGACAATCCTCTAGGGTTATGTCTCTGTATCTTGAACATATTTCCACAACGCTTCTCCTTTCCTGTGTCCTAGGGATTAAACTGGCTGATTCCCTTTTCCAATACTCCTGCCTTATTTTCTCCTTGGACTGTGGGAAGAAAGGCTCAATCTCAAGAATTTTTGCCTCTGCTTTCCTGTTCTTTGCAAATTTAGCCTTTGCAAAGCTTTTCTAAGGTTGTTTATTACTATTAGACACAGAGGAACCATTCTGCAAACAAGCTGCCTCCTCTGCCTGCTGTTTAGCTCTTTGATTTTCAGAAAACCCAAAAGGGAGACTGGCATCCCTGGACTTGTAAGGAGCTCAGATAAATAAGATTCAGGAAATCCAAGAATTCGCCTGAAATTATATGTAGAATTTTCTGTTTGTATGTGTCTCTTTAAGCCAGTAGTTGTCAACAGTGTATTAGAGGGGCCCCTGATCCCATCAGAATGAAGACTGTGAGCAGAAGCCCAGATTGAGGAGAGGAGGTCTGCAAAACCATAATGGCCTTAAGTCTCTGGAGGACTGAAATTCATAGACATTTCAGAGACCCAGATCCAGCAGTGGACATAACACGCTGGGTGCCTCAAATTCAATCCTGTCGAATGTTTGCAGCCTGTGAGCTCCTGGGGCAGAGGGTGTGGAGCTCATAATTAGTGCTTATCACCAGCTAGGTGCTTTGCAGGAGGTATCAGTGGGAGGAGAGAGAGTTGAGAAAGCAGGTTTCTGGGGTTGGAATGGAAATGGGACTGAGGTTACTGACACAGTTGACAGTTTGGGGAATGGAGTTTGGGGCTTCTCCAGTGGTTCACCTGTGCTTCATTTGGCCTTCTACCTCTGTAGCCCAGTCAAACTCTAAACTGTTTGACCAGGACCAGGTACTCCGTAAGCGCAGGGACCAGCTCGTTTGCCCTAGTTTAGTGTCCCTGTGCTTGAGTTGTCAGACTTCAGTGGCTCAGATTTAATCCACTGGGCTCTGGCCCATGTGGCTTCTGGATATGAATTAGAAGGACAACATCCCCTCCTCTGGTGGTGCAGCCTCATGGCAAGGTCCATGGCTGACTGCATTAGGCTGTAGGGGCCTAGGTTTAGCTCTTCCTTACTCCCTCCATCAGGCATCATTGCTCAGTAGTCATCCTTTACATCTCAACAGGTACTTCTTCTGTTTTTTGCTCATTGACAACCCTTGGGGCAAAGCAAAATGTTAGAGTGAAGTCTCTCACTATAGCACTAAGTTTGCTAAAACTGTACTAGAAGAATCCTGTCCAAGTAAAGTGATATACATACTGCAAATAAAACATTAACTTGTCTGTATGTGGCAGTTGGGGTCTTTTCCGATTGTTTTTGTTTTGTTCTGAGGTGTTAAGAGATCAAACCCAGGGCTCCACATACGCTAGGCAGGTGCTATACCACTGAGTTACACTCCCAGCCCTCCTCAAGTTTTAATGGGCCTGGGGTGTGCCATGAGAGGAATCCTGGTGGGTAAGAGTCCACAGACACCCAAAAGATGTCGCCTTTTCTGAGGCCAGCTTATGTGTTAGGGATATATATGAGTATTGTGAACATATTATTTAATGTCCCTCTAAGCAAATACTCTTACTATAGACAATACACAACAGTGAATAGAAGGATAACTATATGACCACAGTATTTATATTTACATGTTTTATAACAATCAGTTCTTTTTTCTTTATTACAGAAGTGCTTGACATTTAATCCAGCCAAGAGAATATCTGCCTACAGTGCCCTGTCTCACCCATACTTCCAAGACCTGGAGAGGTGCAAGGAGAACCTGGATTCCCACCTGCCATCCAGCCAGAATGCCTCAGAGCTGAACACAGCCTGAGGTCTCCGGGCTGCCTTGAGCTGATCATCTGGAGCCCACCATCGGCGGCGGCTGGGTCCCTGAGCAGGCCCTACAGAGCTGTTAAGCCTTGCTGGCTAGAGGCCTTCCAGCTGCCATCTTTGCATGGGCTCTGCTTCTCCAAGGAAACCGCCTCGTTTACTGTTTAGAAATCAATGCAAGAGTGATTGCAGCTTTATGTTCGTTCATTTGTTTGTTTGTCTGTTTGTTTCAAGAACCTGGAAAAATTCCAGAAGAAGAGAAGCTGCTGACCAATTGTGCTGCCATTTCATTTTTCTAACCTTGAATGCTGCCAGTGTGAAGTGGGTAATCCAGGCACAGCTGAGTTATGATGTGATCTCCCTGCAGCTGCCAGGCCTGATTTGGTACTTGTGAGTGTACGTTCGTGCATGCGTGTGTATGTGTGTGTGTGTATGTGTGAGTGTGCACACACATGTGTGTGACAGAGGGAGATTCTCTGATCTCTTAAAGTGTTACTTTTTGTAAATGACAAGAATAATTGAATTTTAAAGACCATGAATAACAGGCACTTGTTCACTAAGCGTGTTCTGTTCAAATTAGAAAGTTGAGCATACGTCCTCAGCATTTCTTTTCTGGACAAAAACAATAAATTTGCTAGCGATAAAAGATGAAGTTTTAGACACACAACAAAAGTGAAAAAATTCTCATATCTTTTAAGAGACCTCTTTTTTAAAGCATGCATTCTATGTACTCTTCAAAAAGCTGAATTTACTTGTGTTAAGTTTATTTGAACCTTCTCTATAGTACCATTCTTTATTGTTTCTTTTGGAAAATACCTATAAGCTTTTTATGATTTGCTATAGATATAGGGAGTAAGTAGGTTAAAAAAATAGAGATAGCTTTTACTTTCTGATTTGAAATGTCATTATTTCCTTTTTGGTTTTGTTGTTATTTTGTTTGTGTTAAGCATGTTTCAGAAACTGTTTCCTGTCTTGGTTTGGAGAGTTTTCTCTGGTTAAAGACAGGAATGCCATTTAAATTGCCTTTACTCTTACACTGTACTTTTCACCACACTGCCTTGTTTGCAACGTGCCTCTCTTATCTAGTTCCCAGCTCCTCTGATAAATACTGCTACCATTCTATAACAGCAGCTTGTTGGAGCTGTTCCACACACCACCTGCTCACTTTCTTCCAGTGAACCTTTCTCAGATACTGAGTTTCAGGTTATATTTTATGGGCTCACTTCTGCAGTCCTACCAGCAACCCATATGGCCCCTGTTAGCGCAGCCCTCCTAGCCTGCATTCCCTAACGCTCCCTAGGTAGCATATAGGATACTTCTTCTCTACCATTAGCACATAGATCACTATAAACTGTTACCTAGTGTTTTCCGTTTTTATAGACTATATTGTCAGTGTAGTATCTGGGGCGGGTGCGTGTTGTCTTTAACTCCTCTCTCTTAAAGATTACCTGTTTACTCTCTGAAGTGATCTTTTTCTGCTTTGAGATTGTTGCAAATGCCTTGCTGTCACACCTGCCCTCTACAGTGCCAGCCTGACCTCAGCACTGTAAACAGCTTTACTTTTTCTCTTACTGTCTTCTCTTCAGGCCTTTGTATCCCATACCACCTCTGCCTTACCCATGGTTTAGTGCTCAGCTGGCTCAAGGAATCAGAAGACATCTTTAGGATCGGAAAGTATCTTTAGGAAATGTAACTGCCTGTGCTTTCAGACTCAGGTTTTGAATGCATGCAGCAAATAGCTAGATTATGTTTAGAGAGGATTTTCAAAGAATGGTGATTGCTTCACTCAGCAGATGTTTCTCCTTGGTGGCTTGTGGGGTTGGGAATTTAAAAAAAAAAAAAATACTCAGGATTGAACCCAGGGAATGCTGAGCTACATCCCCAGCTTTGTCCCCTCCTCTTTTTATTTTTATTGCATTTTTAGTCTCACTTAAGATTTCAAATTTTTGATGTTCCTGTCTCAGCCTCCCAGGTAGCTGAGATTGTAGGTGTATGCCTCCAAACCTGACAGGAACCATTCTTATAAGTACATACACTGCTTAATATTGTTCCAGTTCAGTAGCCTCAGGAACAAGAAGTCTTTAAAAGCAAGATAGAAAAGCCACAAGAAGCTGAGTGTGGTGATACACGCCTGTAATCCCAACACTGTGTGAGGCTGAGACAGGAGGATTTCAAGTTTGAGTCTATCCCAGGCAACTTAGTGACTTAGTGAGACCCTCCCTCAAAAATTAAAAATAAGTAAATGTTTTAAAAGCACTGGGAATGTAGCTCAATATGAAGGCCCTGGGTTCAAATCCCAGTACTGCAAGGGAAAGAAGAAGAAAAATAAAGGCAGAGCATAGAATATTTTATACTGCTTCATGTGGCAGCACGTCATGATGATGTGCTGTCAGCCCTGTAGATGCCTAAGTATAGTGAACCTGGAGCATTTGAGGTAAGGTATGCTCAAAATTTCACCTGGAAAATGAGTTCCACCTTTTCTTTGATCAAGGTTCAGAATACAAGGACACCCATGCTGGGGCCTAAAAATTGAATTTAAAAACTGACTGCACTGATTGATCGTGACCTTTTTGGCTAGTATTCATGTGTGGAAGTGAACATAACCTGGGTTTGTGCTTTTGTAAGTTTTTTTCTTAAGTTCCCTCAAGAAAAGTGCAGCTGTTCTAAACTGGAATTTTTCAGCATTTTTAGAATTGAGTTCAACTTTTATTTCTAGTATCTGCTTTGGACTTATTTCTAGTTTAGCGTTTGTAAAGAATTAAAGCACAAACATTCTGGCATTAGCTACTTGGCACAGTGCCCTCTGATGGACACAGAATGAAAGGGCACCTCAGCCTCGCTTGTCTTGCCCCAGTTCTTCCAGAGGTGAGCACTTAAACTCTCTCCATGTATGTCTTCAGCACCCAAGCTCATGACCTCTGAAGTCCAGATCTCACCAAGCAGCCTTACCATTAGGTTAGGGCACTTTGAAGCATACAGCAAAATACAAACTTTGTGAACACAGCCTATTCTGTGACATAAGCTTTCAGATATCTTTGCCGAAAGCTAGGTAGGGTTTAGCTGTAAAGGTCATACTGCTTTAGGGCTCTAGTAAAGCAACTTATTGCAAGCAGAGTATCAGAATTTGAAAATCTGAAAGCACATTTGAATCATACTAGTACTAGTACAAGAATGTGCCTGATAGCTTCTGTTTGGGGTTTGGTTCTGCTGGTCCAGGGATTGTGACAACTATCACTTAAGGTGGAGTTTTAGCAACCTTGATCTGAAAAGAAAAGGAAACCTGTTGGTTTAGTTTATCATAAGCTATTGGGTGGCAAAGGCTGATAATGACCTGAAAAACACAATTCCTGAGTGCTTAGGAACCCAGTGAGTCAGAGCCTCCTATTCCTCTGTCGGTCTTTGAAGAGTATGGGAGCTCAAGGACCAGAGACTGCTTGAAATAACACTTGAAGCCATTTCAGCCGCTGTAATTCTCATTTTCTCTCAGGAAGCACACTGTGAATGGTAGAATTCTCATTTAGCCCCAGGTGACTTACTAAAAATAGCTCGAAATTATTCACCTAAGAATACAATCCCATCATGTTAGCTTTAAGGAAAAGTGAAAATGTCAGAATGCATGGGATACTGATATTTTCACATGTTCCTTTGAATAGAAAAGTGTACACTTTGACTCCAGAATATGGTACTATCCATCTTGTGATAATCAACAATACCAAACATTTTGAACTCTAAATTATGTATGAGTATTTAAATTGATTTTTAAATAACTGTAGCTGCTTATCTTTAAAAAGGTGCCTGTTCAGTAATGGCAATTCTCATTCCATTTTGGAAATTAAATCATGTAAACCTCTACTATCATAGACATATTAAAATTCTTCTATCCAAAGAACTTCTTTTTTTTTAAGTAAAAACTTGACTATTTTTATGATAAGCACATGAGAGTGTCTCACGTTTTATTTTCAAGAAGCATGCTTTTGTTGCATACTTTGGTCTAAGAAAGAATAATATTAAAAGTTACTATGCCACCATAATTACTTAATTGTGCATATTGGTAGAATTCAAAAAATGCATGTTTAACATTCTAACATAAAAATAAAGATATTGCATGATTTCTAAATATTAAAAAATTATTTGTAAAACACAATGGCGAGAGGAAATTTTGGAGAAAGTTACAGTCAAGTAGTTTTAAAATTCCATACATTTTGAAAGATACATTCTTGATCATCAAATGTATTACAAGAATTAAGGTCACCTGGCCCGGGATTTAGCTCAGTGGTTCTGCCGCCTGCCTTGCAAGTGGAAGGTCCCGAGTTCAATCCCCGGTACCAAAAAAAAAAAAAAAAAAAAGAATTAAGGTCACCTGCCAACTATGGACTTGATACGTTCAAAAACCAATTTTATGGAGAAGCTATCCCAATCACAAATTATCTTTTCAAAGACTGAGCCAAATAAACTAAATCATTCATAATCCTTCCTCATTTTGTGGGAAGAAGCAGCCACTCAAAGCTATACTTGTTTTACATACCTAGGAGTATATTCACTGTAAAAGTAAATAAATTGTTGAAAGGTATCTGTGAAAGTCCTATGTCAGTAGGACTTTTGAGAAATTGTAGACGTTACCAAAAAGCCCTTTTCCTGTGCATTAAGTGCATACAGATACATAATTAGGAAGATAGTTACATGTTCCTTGTTCACAATGGAAAAACAACTTGAGGCCACCAAAGCCTGACAAGCAATGTAAGTACTGGAAAAATTAATAATGGAGTTTCTTCAAAGGTATGGGAAAGGCCTTTACATGTCTTACTGGCTTCCTTTTATAGCAATACAATTTCCAGCTCAATTTTGATACACAGCTATGCCTCAAGCATTTCTAACTTCTACTTCTTTAGAAAATAAGCCAAATCTATTCCTTTGGACTTTCTATTTTCTGACCTTATAAACAGCAGAATTGTAAAAACAGAAGGTATCTGATTTTTAATTTTTTTCAATTAATTCTTAGTATTCTCAAGGAGTTAGTTTAGATTAATGAATGGACATCATTTTTGTGTTTCCTTGACCCTGGTGCTCTGGCCTTCAAGAAGAAAACAGGAGCCACCTGAAAATAAAGGCTGTTATTTCAAGCATCTATTGAAATTCTATTACAGTGCTTTAAAGTTAACACAGTAAGACTGAAGATAGTTTTTCTTGCAAATGTCTGTTTTAAAATTCACTCTGTCCTAAGAGCTGGGCTTTTTTGTTTTATTCCAGTGTATCCCACAAGGTGGCACTTTAAGAGAAAAATTAAAGTCTGACCAAGGCTAGAGAGATACTTCTTAAAGACATCATTCTAAAAAATAAAAAATAAAGACATCATTCTAACTTCATTTTTCTGCACATCTTTTAACAGTTGCCTAGCACTTATTTAATAACTAATAGTCTTCGTAATGTTCTGAAACTTAAATACTTTGTTTCTTAGCTAAGTTCTGAACAATTGTTTACAAATAAAGTATGTTTTAGGGTGGCTTACACATCGATTTTGATCATTTGAATGAATAAAGCCAGGTCATTCGTTTACTCAAGAAACATTTTTTGAGGTTCCTAATTACCTCACTTTTCTAGTGTAGGCAGATTTACTAAAAAGCAACCCACATGTGCAAAGAGGACACTTTTTTAGGAGTATAAAATTCACAGCTCCCTGCTGCTTTCACATTTCCTACCATGGTGGCCTTTTGAGGAATTCAGTTTTAAAATCCTAATTTAAGCCGGGGATTTAGCTCAGTGGTTCCGCCACCTGCCTCACAAGTGCAAGGTCCCAAGTTCAATCCCTGGTACCAAAAAAAAAAAAAATCCTAATTTAAAAATCAAGTGAGCGAAATAAGTAGTGTATCAGTAATTAAGTGGACAAAACTTTCTAAAAGAATTGCTATACTGAAACGAGACCCAGAATACTAAAAGATCTGGTAATTTTTACATTTCCATAGTCAGAAATGTAAATTCTTAAGAAATTGAAAAGGTCTTGGGATGTGGCTCAGAGGTAGAGTGCTGGCCTAGCACGTGCAAGGCACTGGGTTCAATCTCCAGCACCACAAAAATTATTTTGTCTTAAGTATATGACAAAATACTTAGGTAGATAAGTCTACCTAAGTCTTTGATTTCTCCACTTTGCCAATTTTTTGGCAACTTCATGCAATGTATGTATTTTTTTAAGTTGACATTTCTGCTCAGAGACCCATTATCCCCTTCCTCAGTGATCTATGAAATTTGAGAGGCAGGAAATTAGTGTTTTTAAGTTTCTTTGGCACAGCACAAGGCAGTTTAATCCTGAGGGGCAGAACGATGGACTTGGTTTCTTCAGAGTGAATCACTTGGAACTGTCAAAGTTCTGACATCAAGCCTTGGAACTACTTCGCCCCCAGCTCCCACCGACCCCAGGACCTTACCTAGATGCCTTGGGGCGGAGCTCTCGCCACCCCGCCCCTTGGCCGGTGAGTGGCAGGGGCGTGGCTGCCCGAACCCGCGGGCGGGACACTGTCTAGGTCGGGTTCCCTGCTGCTGGCTCAGAGGTACCAGTTCTGCAGTCTTAGGGAGTAAACCGGCCCTAGAAACAAACGGGTGTCTTCTGTGCGTCAAGAAGTACAACACAAGCCTCCCAACACTCGGGTATAGAGAGATGCAGTAGACTGCTAAGTGCGAAGCGCTCTACCAGGCATCCCAAGTGCTAAGCTCAGCTTTGTTGTTTGTTTTTTAAGGAGGCGATGTATAATTACAGGATAGATTTTTTTTTTTTTATCCTACATGCATGATGGCAAAAGATGTACCTGGAAAAGTTTTGAAAATTTGTTCCTTTTCTACTTCAGTTGGCAGGAGCTATTTCTTTAGCTTCCAGTTCTTTTTATTTGCCAAGTAATTAAAGGTATAAAAGACAATTATGTCATGTAATGAGAGGTTTTTTTTGTGTAGAGGAACCTTTCATGTGATTGGTCACACAAATAATCAGGCCTTCTCTGTGTTAGGAATTTGAGTTGTCAAATGCGGGTTTTCTTAAAGTGCATATAGCTGCATGTTGACAGCCACGTCCTAGGTGGCACCAACCAGCAAACAAAGAGCCACATGGTTGTTTAATTTTGGACTCTGGTTTCTAGCCAAATTCTATTGATGTCTTTAGGTTAAAGTTCCATAGATACTCTGTACCCTTGAACATTCTAATCATAAGCTTTATGAAATGCAGTAACTTGTATTTATGTGGTCATCAGTAACTCAGAGTTTGACTTTGAAGGCTCTGAAAAATTAAAGTAGATTCCAGCAGCAATACATCTCTTGAACTCCCACATACATCGTGTATGTTTTCACTCTTGGTCCTCTGCAACAGTATACACACATGTATTATAGTTCCCTACTTACTTTTTATTCACTTGTTTCCCTGTGACTAGTAAGAATTGTATTAGTACATGGAATTGAGCAGCACTTAACAGGTGAATAATTTTTTCAAGTTTGACACTTGCATAAATTATTTTTATTATTCATGTATTTTATTTATTCCTGAATCACACTAGTCCTGTGAAAGTGCAACTGAAGGTTAAGATTTGCATTTAACATTCACTGTGGCCTTGATAGAGAAAGGAAATAAAACTTAGACTAAGTCACCAAATAACCTGCATGCATTTCTACATGATTAGTAGGTTTAAGTCTATGATGTAGTACTTTTGGTGTCTAGGTGTTTTATCATGTAAAGGAATTAAAGCAAAGGACTTTATATTTGTTGCTTTTGTCAAGTGTGTATTTAGTTTAGTGTGATATTACAGCAAAAGTAAAAGCTAAAGGTAGAAAAGCATTTTAGAGGCTGCTTTAATTTAGGAACTACACCAGCTGCCCAGAGAGTAGAGACAGGTGTATGGGCGGTGCCTCTTGTCTGGCCTTGTGAAGAAGTTTCCCCCACGCTCCAGTGCCATTGTGAGTAGGTGTTCTGTGCAGCAGTGGAACAAGTAATACTGTTGAGAGGGAAGCAATGCCGAAGTTGCTTTGTAGGAACATAACTGAGAGCTTATGTCTTGAGGCTTCCGGAGTGTGTCCAATTGAGAAGTCCAAGTTGGCATCCTTTGGGCAACTTTGCTGCATACAGAAGCAATCCAGCCTGTTAATAAAAAGCTAGGATTGCAATAATAGACAAAGAGGTTTTAATGACCAGCAAGTCCCAAAGCCTTAAAAGGGTATTGCATTTTTGGTATTTTTAGATTTGATCTGAAGGTTAAAGGGCAAGTGTTTGGTATAGAAGAGCAGTATGTGTTAAGAAAAGCACAATATCAGTTCCCACAGAGTGCAGATTGGAGCTAGAGAGTTTTAGAGGATTATCATTTCTGATGTGTAAAAGTATATTTTTGCTATAATAATGCATTAGTGCTTCCACATTCTCAGTTTTAAAACTTCTAGGTTTCGCCAAAGCTGTCACACACAGTAAGCTTTTTTTCTGACTTATAATAGAAAATGTTTTAAAAAATTTTTTTTAAATCTTAATCTGAACATTTGACTCCTTGGTTTCTTATTTGAAATCACAGAAATACAGAGATTGTACACATCAAACGCTAATCTAGGCTGTGTGAAGAACCAGGCCCAGATGACCAATATTCCCACATCCTTTACCCCACCCTACATCTCTTCCTCCTGCCCACCAAGGTGCCCCCTGCCACCACTTTCACTTGTCCATCCTCCTCTGCCGATTGTGGGCATCAGGGACATGATGAGAGACACCTTAGGTACCACGGTTTGGTTACACAGGCCTGACCGCCACCGCCACTTGGTCTTTGGATCCTGATGCCAGGCACAGTGTGTGCTGGTGATGTCAATCAGATATACCTTTAGCATCTTTGTATGCATCTTGATGTTTAAAACAAGTCATTGTACAGAGCATTCAGTTTTGGCTGTGGAACCAAGAGAGAAACTAACGAAGAATACAAACCACATTCCAAGCTGCTGTTTTCTATCCATCTACAGGCTGTACTTTTACTGTATTTCTTCATACTTGAAACTCATTCTGCTGTTTTAATATCAGGGTACAGACATCAGGGTGCATGTTCCCTCAAGGTGCATACTGACTCATTCTGTTTGCTCATGTTGCCACAGAATGCTCTGTTTTGGTGCTTTCGGTTCAGCAGGTCAAAGAAGCAATGTGGAAAATCCCTGCCTGGATCACAGTCTTACAAGAATGCTGGCAGATGGCTTGGTGTCAAATGTTGCTTCTGCTCTTTTCTCTGAAAACAAGATTAAGAGTTCCCACGCTGGCCAGTCAGGTCCATGCAAGTATCCTTCCTCACAGGATATACAAACCCTGTGCTCTACTCTCGGGTGGGTGTAGCACAACCTCTGAAGCAGGGACCTTCCTACCTATCCAGATTATTAGCCCTCAAAGAAAAATGACCTTGAGTACAGATAGCAACAGACAGGGAAGGGCCAGGTGGGTCATCTCGTGACTTTCTCCCCTGTTCCACACAGGAAGCCTTCCTAAGGCCAAAAAGAGAGAAGAAGGAAAGAAGGCTTATCTCAGCTTACCCTCAGCTGAATGCGCTCGCTCCCTTTGAAGCAGATGAAAATACTAGTCCACTTATCCAAACCCCTCCCACCTGAAGAAGAGAATAGAAAAGTAGGGGTTTGTATCGTGTAAGGTATGTCATTCAAGAAACACAACTTCCAGTAAATACCCCATCATTAGGAATCTGTTTCTAAAAGTATCAAAAGTGAGGGATGCTTTCTGACCCAGGGCTTCTGAGGTCGGAAGCAGTCAATCCAGTGTGTGCCTCGTTCTAAGATTTGTGTGGAGAAGGAGCGCTGCAGTGGTGATTCTGTTCCAGTGGCAAAGGTGACAGGTCAGAAAATTCAGAGGGTTACAGACCAATAATCCTTTGGAAACTGGATGTCTTATTGGGTGCTAGAATGGAAATTTAGGTATTTATTGTCAAATAATGGGATTCGTTGTTTATTCAAAATTATTGTTGGAATGTTACTGTCCATTTTGTTCACTTATACTCAAGCTCAGTTGAAGCAAAAAGAAAATTTGTACATTTGTCATACCTTTTGTATTTCTTACAATAAAAATATTGGTAGCAAATAAAAACCACCATTTTAACTGCTTTCTTGGAATTACTTTTTTTCTTGGCTTTTTTTTTACTTTAAAATGACTATAACCCTAGAAAGTAATGTATTGCTAAATTACAAGAATATATTAGCAGAATGTGTTCTAAACTTTTTAAAGAGACTTGAAGACTTCCAGTGTAAATAAAGTAACAGCGCATAGAACTTAGAATTCATCCAGGAAGTATTTATCACGCCCTTATGAGCTAACAGTGCTAAGCACCAAACATGCAAAAATGAATAAAATGTGGGCAGTCTGTTCCAAAGCTTACAGACGAAAAGAGGGATTATGTCATCACTGGCTGACCCAGAGGTGAGCAAAAGGTTTCCCATCAGAAATAAGGCTTAGGGGCCAGGGATTTAGCTCAGTGGTTTCACCACCTGCTGTGCAAGCACAAGGACCCAAGTTCAATCCCCGGTACGAAAAAAAAAGAAATAAGGCTTAGGAGGACTGAAATGCCAAGGTCAGTATTTGCCAGCCACACGAGGCAAAGTACTTTGCACATACAAAGTCCTGTGGTTATGAAAAAGCAAGCCAGAAAGGGCAGGAAGATTGGTGAGGCTGTGCCAGGGAGTGGCTTCTGAACATCTAGATCATAATTTGTAGGTGGGGTATAATCTAGCAGCATGATCTGATTCACATGTGCCCACATGCATATATTCTGGACCATTTTCTTCTAAGCTGTGTCCAGACAAATCTTTCCCTTGGTTATCCCTGCTGTGCTCCCGTAAGTGCCTAGTAGCCTTTTGTCACTGGTTTTACCTTTTGGAGTTCAGCCCTGTTTCCACTTCCCTGTTCTCTGGGAACAGGGTCCCAGATGGTGGGTCCCAGTCCAGAGAGGTTTGTTCTGCAAAGTATTTCACATAATGATGCTACGTGTTTCACACGGTCTCTTCTGTAGTTCTCTGCTCTGAAAGTATTAGTAGCTAAAATTGATTTTACAACCCAACTAATAGGGCACGACTTACAGTTTGAAAACAATGGATCTGGGTGGTGGGTATGTGAAGCACAGTTGAGAGGTCACGTGTGCCATACAAAGGGTTTTAGAACCACTGAAGTATCAGAGAAGACAGTTGCTGCTAATGTTTGCCTGTTTTTGCTTCGCCATGTATGTACTAGAAGCAGAGTGACTAAAAGACATAGCTCCCAAGATACACTGTAGTTGCTGATACCTGTGTTCCCCCTCTTTGTATATAATATTAGGTATATTTAAATTAGACCTCTAGAATTCCCTGCAAGCTCCCATTAAGCCTTGCCTTTATGGGCCAGGGATTTAGCTCAGTGGTTCTGGCACCTGTCTCAAAAGTGCAAGGTCCCAAGGCCCGGTACCAAAAAAATGACTTGCCTTTATTTCTATAGGTCCTTAAATACATTTAAAATTTTTAAATCTAAAAAATATATTTATGAGGGGTAATGAAAACTTGGTAATTTGATTTTTATTAAGAAATTGAAATTATGTGGCATATTGAGTGGTCAGTCATAACAATAAATGTTTCCACAAAGGATCTGCATCAATAACCAGTTTTGCCTGGACCATTTCCTTTGCAGCTGTGTACAACAGATCCTCTAATCGTCTCTGCTATATTCACATAGAACCATATTACATTAAGAACTCATCCCTTGCCCCTCCTTCCCTGTGGAGGAGCCTCCCGATTTCCACTTTCCTGCTCTCTAGAGACAGGCTAATGGCAAGGATGGGTCCCAGGAGGCCATGTTTGTTCTACTGACTCCATTCTCAGCAGATTATGTCATAAATATCAGACTGAGGCTGTCAAAAGTACATCTAGGTCTGCTACCTGTACACTCAGAGCTGCAGGTGGGCTGAGTCCCTTCATATATACAGAGGATCATGGAGCGCGTCCATCCGGAGATGGGAAAGGAGATAGGTAAAGGTTGGGTCCGGATAACCTAGTCCTGTTCCTGGGCTCTGAACATCATACCCTTATGATAAACTGCCTTCAGCTTTCTTTCCCCTTTTAATTAATGTGGCTTAAATAAATGTCTATTGGTTGCAGAAAAAATATCCTGATACAGCACCTGATCAGCACTGCAGTTGGGGGTCCCTATACTGGATTATACTTCAAGCTATTGAAAAGCTAAGTGAAGAATCATGTTCTTATTTAAGTGGATAAAAGCCCAACAAGTAAGGGTCTGCACTTTTCAAGTTGAAGTTCCCAGAAACCTGAGAAAATAAGGGAACATACAAAGCTACAGATAAGCAGTGTGTACCTTCCCTGAGCAGCTATAGTTTCTTATAGTTATTTGTTACCCTTCTGTAGAAAACAAGCTGGGTGTCACAGCACATGCTTGTAATCTCAGTACTCAGGAGGCTGACTGTGAGTTCAGGGCAGCCTGTGTACATAGTGAGACCTGTCAGACAGAGAGACAGAGACAGTGACAGAGGCGAGACAGAGACAGTGACAGGGAAGAGAGAGGTGAGAGGCACAAGAGACAGAGAAAAAAAATAAGGTCCAGGAAAGAAAGAAACTGTATATTCCTGTCCCATCCCAGTGCCTAGCGCAGTGTTCCATCAATATGTACTAAATGGGCCAGGGGTTTAGCTCAGTGGTTTCACTGCCTGCTCCGCAAGCACAAGGACCTGAGTTCGATCCCCGGTACCAAAAAAAAAAAAATATATATATATATATATATATACTAAATGAATCAATGAATATTTCTACCACAAATCCCTGTGTTAGCTCTGCTATACTCCTGGATCAATGACCTAAACACAAGGGATAAAAGTACGAGTTGGAAAAGAAAACATAGGAGAAAATCTCTCTGATTTGAGGTTAGTCCAAGATTTCCTAGATTGGACACAAAAGTATTGATAAATGGCACTTGATCAAACTTTAACTCTTTGAAAAACTAAGAAAATGAAAAAGAAACACACAGATTGGGGAGGGGTTGTAAAACACATTGTGACCAAGGATTGTTATCCAGACCAATAATCCAATTTTCAAAATGAGCAAAAGATTTGAAATGGTCTTTCACCAAAGAAGATAAATCAGGAGCTGAAGTGATGAACTGCATTAGTCATCAGGGGAATGCGAATTGAAACCAAAGGAGCTGTCACCACACCCTCAGCTGAAATTTAAAACTTTGACAACTCCAAGTGTTGATGAGCATGTGGAATAACCAAATCTTGCTATCAATTGTAGGAAACAACATGCTACAGTCACTTTAGAAAAAGCTGGAGGAGTTAAATATAAAATTGGATTTCAACCCAGCAATCTCACATCTAGGTAATTGTATATCAATGTGTACATCAACATTCAGAGCAGGTTCGCTCATAATGGGTAAAACCCAGAAACAACACAAAAGCCCGGAAAAAAGTTATTGGATACATACTGTGACTTACAAACATAATGGAATAGTACTCACACAAAGTCAACCTGAAATAATTGGCCAACAATTTTTACAGCTTATGAGTCAACAAGGATGAAACAAGAGGAAAATTAGTATAGTGAAGCCAGAACCCACTGATTCAGTTGAAGCACTCCTGAGCACCAGAAATTTTCCTTTCTGACTCACTTTCCTGGTTACTTCCCCTGCCTTCAACCATTAGAAGGACTCAACCTAGGATTTTCAAGAGGAAACTTGATTTAAAGTTAGTAGCTTTTTGGTTTTCATGGTTGAAATTCTTTTTTAAAAAAATCACGAAGAGGGCCACCTCGCAAGTGCAAGGACCCGAGTTCAATCCCCGGTACCAAAAACATCATGGAGATATACATATATATTAGAGGTTGGGTGAAGGAGCGGAGGTGGGGGTGTTACTGGGGATTGAACCTAGGGACCTTCACACTGAGCTACATCCCCAGCCCTTTTTTTATTTTTTATTTTGAGACAGGGGCTCCTAAGTTGCCCAGGCTGGGCTCGAACTTGTGATTCTCCTGCCTCAGTCTCGTGCTTCACCATGCCAGGACTTTTGTGTATTTTTTACAGTAAGAAATGCAATGGTCAGGACACAAGATGAGCATGTTCACTGGTCACTGTTTTCACTCTGTGTATGCAAAATTATATCTAGAAGTTATATAGTGAGTGTGGAATCATGGGAAGGGCAAACAATTAGCTGAGCTCTCCTTTCATGATATAAATCAGAAGGGGATATAGTGAAAAAGACAATGTCCTATGCCCACCCTGTCAAAACACATTACTGATGAAGTAACCAAGAGTGAGGGTTTATTGTATAAACTATTCATATATCTTCCTGAATATATTCAAGCATATATGTGTGTCTATAGATATATGTATATATATGAAACTACCCATCTTGTATGTTAGAAATTGCTGGATATCTAGTTTCATAATCCTGAACCAATATACCCTCTTGCTTACATATGTTATAATAGTTTTTATACAGTTTTATAAGCCTCTTTTTCTTTTAATAATGTTTAATGGCCATTTTTTCATACAAACACATAAGCTCCATAACACTTTTAAATACTGTACCTTCAGCCTTTGTGGTTGCATGGTTGCATGGATGTATTGTACTCTAACTAATTCTTTTGTGATGGGTACTGAACTTGTTTCCTGCCTCATGTTCGCTTTGTTAGTACACTTAGTTACAATGGTTGTTATCTTCAAAAACAAAAGTTCTGTACTTTCCTCTCTAGTCTCAGGTTATGGCCACCCAAACAACAGACGTGTGGGTTTGCAGACTGGATGGCTTTTTTTTTATTAGTACTTGTTTGCAGTATAAAATGTTTACATTCCTTATGTGGAGGTGGTACATGTGTATAATACATCTTAATTTCTTTCTTCATCCCCTTTCCCTTCCCTCCCTTTCACTTTCCTCCATGTCTTTCTTGATACTCTTCCCATTTGAGAAAGACCTATCTCCCTACTTCCTGTTATCTAGCATTTATTTTGCTCTTTATTTATAAGCTGAGATTCTCATATAAGAGAAACCTTGTGATATTTAAGCTTGTGCGTCTGATTTATTCCACTTAGCATTATGGTCTCAAATTACATCCACCTTCCTACAAATGACTCGAGTTTATTTTTCTTCATGGCAGAGAAGTACTCCATTGTATATAAATGTCACATTTTATTTATCCATTTATCTGTTGATGGATATGTAGGCTCCTTCTGAGATTTAGCTATTACGAATTGTGCTGCGATAAACATAGGTTTGCATGTGTCACTGCAATACGATGTCTTTAACTCTTTCAGGAAGATACTTAGAAGGAGAATAGCTGGGTCGAATGGAATTTCTAGTTTTAATTTGTTGAAGAACCTCCATACTGAGCTCCATAGTGGTTGCACTAGTTTACATTCTCACCAACAGTGCAAAAGTGGTGTTTTTGGGCCGAGGATTTAGCTCAGTGGTTCTGGTGCCTGCCTTGCAAGCGCAAGGTCCCGAGTTCGATCCCCGGTACCAATAAATAAATAAATAAAAAGTGTTGTTTTTTTTTCCCACAGCCTCACCAGCATTTGTTATTATTTGATTTCTTGATGATGGCCATTCTTTCTGTGGTAAGATGGAATCTCAATGTTGTCTTAATTTGCATCTCTCTATAGTGGCCAGCGATTTGAACATTCTTTCATGTATTTGTTGGCCATTTGTACTTCTTCTGTTACATGTATATTCATTTCACTTGCCCATTTTTTCATTAAGTCTTTTATTTGGGGGGGGTAATTTTTTTTAGTTCTTCATATAGTCTAAATATTAGGTTTCTGTCTGAGGAAGAACTGGCAAAAATTTTTCCCATTCTGTAGGTTGTCTTTTCACTCTGTTGGTTGTTTCTCCTACTGTGTATAAGCTTTTTAATTTGATATAATCCCAGTTGCTGATTCTTGATATTTCTTATGCAATTGGGGTTCTGTTTAGAAAGTCCTTGCCTATATCCATGACTTCAAAAGTTTTACCTATTTTATCTTCCAGAAGGTTAAGTGTTTCTGTTTTAACATTTAGATCTTTGATCCATTTTGATTCTTGTTTAGTACATGGTGAGAGATACAGGTCTAGATTCAATCTTCTGTGTGGAGATGAGTTTTCCCAACACTATTTATTGAAAAGGCTATCTTTCCTTTAGTGTATGTTTTTGGTCCATTTGTCAAAGATCAAAAAGCTGAATGTACCTAGGGTTGTTTCTGCATCCTCTATTCTGTTCCATTGATCCTGGTGTCTGTTTTTGTGCCAGTACCGTACTGTTTTTAATCACTGTAGCTTTATAATATAATTTCAAGTCCAGGATTATGTGTAGACTGGATTTCTGTCTCCTCCATTGTTGAAATTCTCAAATACCCACTCAACAATAATGAAAAGTACAGGAGAGTTAACTACTATATTATTAAAATTTGGATATAAACTCAAGTTCAGACAAGTCTTCGTAATGTTAAAGATGCTACTTGAGTTAGTCACTGATTGTTACTGAAGTTGAAAATCTCTACCCCAGAAAATTATTATTACTGTTATTATTAGCTCTTATTATTACTGCTACAATTTATAGCTTTGTCTTTTATAACTGTTGATGTTATCCCCCTGCTCCAGTTCAAAAAGCTCTTCTTGAACAATTAAAAAAAAACTCCTTCCCTTGGCATTCAAAGTCCTTCCCCTCTAGCCCCTTGTACCTTTCCACCACACTTGGCTGTGTCCCTTCTTCCTTTATGCAGGAAGTTCCCTCTGCGTGGAATGTCCTCCCTCTAGGAGTCCACCTGAAATGCCACTGCTGAAGCCTCCCTCTCTCACCATTCCTTTCGAAGGCAGTGTGAGGTTGTGAGGGAAGCACATGTTTTCATGTCTCTCTCACACATCTGCACTTCTGTCCTGGCTTCCCTGCTTTCTTCTGTGGGACCTGGAGCAAATTCCTTGGCTTCTCTCAGCCTCAGTCTTTCTGCTCTGAAATACACTCTCTTGGTTACATTTGGACCATAGGGAGGGAAGGAAAGTGTGTTTACTAGCACACAAGTGTAGAGAATGTGTAAAGCAGTTTTTATTCTTCCCACTGAATTGCTGTTGCTTCCCACTGAGTTCAAGTCCAACTTGAAAAATGTGGACTGCTCTTATCTTGCTGGACTGCTGGAGGCTTCTCTGTTATCTCCACAGGCCGTTTGGTCTTTTCCTGTTTCTCTGTCTTCCCATAGGATTGATACTCCATCCAAGAAAGGCTGGGTACCTTGCCAGAGGGGGAGACATCTCAGGACAACACAAGCTTTTTGTTGACTTACAGCATTACTATTTTCTTTTAATCTCTGTATTTTGTAAAACCAGTCAAAGAGTAAGAAAGTGAAAAGCAAGTTGCTAATGAAGAAAAAAAACTGTGTTCTCCTACAGGTATTAACACGCCTCTCAGGTTGGGATGTTGGAAACCATAGCCAAGTGCCAGAATATTTAACAAATTACAGCTGAGTCATGAAAAAAAGAACTGAATATTCACAGATTCTCTTCTTCTCCTTGTGCAGATAATAAAGCCTGTCTTTGACCAAAGTCTTCAGCTTGAGTCAGGAATAAGGGAGGAGGAGAAGTTAAAGCCTGCAGACCCGATCTACAGTGGGAAATGAAGTGGGTTATTTAGGAGAAATCAATGGTGAGTGGCAGTAGAACAGCCAAGGACTAAATTTGAGAGAGTTTGGGGAAGTTGTGAGAAAGAAAGTGGGAGCTGTGAGCATCTGCTGCACAATGCAGTATGAGAGAGGGAGAGAGGGAGAGAGACTGGAAAACCAAGACCCATTTTTCCATTTTCCAAGAATCCAAAAAGGTGCTAATTGATTTCCAAAACTTCCTACTGCCCACGTGTAGACACAGACCCACAGGAGCCCCTTTATCCAGGTCTGTAAACGGGAAGCCTGCTGCGTCTTCTGGAGCCCAGAACATCTCCTCAGATGGTGCAGTACTGTGCTAACAATATCACAGCCCCGCAGACAGTGAAGCCAGCCCTATGTGCGTTTATCTCCCCTACGAGTTATAAACAGGCCCCTTGAAGGTACAGATTGTATCATAACCGTCTTCGTGTCTGGGCCAGCTCCAGCTTAAGTCCCCCATGCAGTAAAAACTACACAAAGTAGATAATCAAAAACTGGCATGAGGGTTGGGGATTTAGCTCAGTGGTTCTGGCGCCTTCCTCACAAGCACAAGGTCCCGAGTTCGATCCCCGGTACAAAAAAAAAAAAACTGGCATGAAATGAATGCATGCATGATGAATGAATGGATTTGAACGCACGGGGAAACTGTGCCAACATCGTTTCATTGGCAAGAGAGCAGCACTGTTCTTTCCCCCCCACCACCACCAACTGGTCCTCTGCAAAGGACCGTCTACCGGGTCCTCACTTTGTCCCCAGTACTTGCACCACAACAATCACACAGTGTTGGAGTAATCTTTGTACCCCCTACAATGAGTATCTCAGAGCATCAAGAATGTAGGAAAGCAAAACGGCCCAAAGCTACCTTGCTGAGGCCCCCCCCGTACAAAGCACAGTGTCGCCCACCTCTGGGTGGATGATAAAACAGGAATCCCCAGCCCGTTCCTAGGAACACGGGTGACTGCCCGAGCCGACCTCTCCTCCGAGGCAGCAGGGGGCGCTGTGGCCAGGCGCGGCCGTCGGGGCCGCGCGACGCCGCTCGCGGGGCGGGGCGGCGACACAAGGACCTGCTGCGGGCCCACCTCGGCTGTTTCTCTGGCCTGCTTTCTCGCTCACTGTCTTTCTGTGCGCTCGGTCCGGCACGATGGGGAAGCGGGACAATCGGGTGGTGAGTAGCGGGCGGGGAGAGCAGTGAGGTGGCGCGGGCTGGGCGACTGGAGAGCGGGACGCCTGCCCCCCGACCCCGGCCGGCCCAGAGGCCGGAGGCGCGCTCGGCCCAGAGGACGCAGACCCAGTGCCCTCCGTCGCCGCAGATCCGCGTGCGCCGCGCACGCAATCTGCGCCCCGGGTCCCGACTCTGTGCCCTGTCTCTTATTCCTCACCCCGCTGCTCTCCGGCCCTGCTCCCCAGCTCCCTTCCCTCGCGAGCCAGGAGTAGCAGTGCCGGATTTGCAGCGCCCCACGGGCTCGGGGCGGGGGGACTCTCTCCCATCCTCCTGTAATTCCAAAGTCCGTGCAAGTCCATCCCAGCTCGGCGGCCCTCGACTCATGCCTCGGGACGGGATGGAGGCACGGAGGCCTGGGAGACGCTCCCGGTTTAGAAAAGGGCGGCTTCGCGTTTGAGAGCCAGGATCACGGCATTTGATTTCGTGTTTCCAACGCCCCTGCACTGTCTGGGACTAGTAGATCCTGCAAAGGGATGAATGGCGTGAAAATAATTGGTTTTGGAGACCTGCACACACTGGAATGTCAGCTCTGGTCCCTCAGAAGTTAGGTAACCTAGGACAAGTTACTATTCTCTGAGCCTAACGTGTTTTTTTGTTCATATATAAAGGGAGATAATTGTTATCAATAACCTTGTGAGATAGGGCCACAAAAAGCAGTATGCCCAAATGAATCCTTGGCATGAAAATTATTACTCTAGTAAAAAAGATCCGCAAGTAATTCGTACCAGAAAGTAAACATAAGGGAATAGTAATATTAGGTTGTAGCCTGACAGTTCCTGGGTTTGTCTGTGACAAATTTTTTTACCACTAACCGTAAAATGAGGAAAATGAACTTAAAGGTAATATCCTACAGTCAGTGAACTAGCCTTTTTTTAAACGATTATTTGCAGGTACATGTATATGTGTTAAAAGAGCCTTGCTTTTATGAAATAATGGCTGTTTCTCATCTTAAAAACGTTTTAGTTTCCTGTGGTCTTTGTAATTGAAAATGCCTAGGAACGCTGTGGTAGTGATTACAAGATTGAGGAATGTTCTTTCATCCTGGCTGCAGATGAGGGCTTGCTGTAGTATGTTGAATACTGTCCTAGTTGAAATGGTCTTGTGCTGGGGCACTCCAAGATTTGAGGTACTGGAGTGTTTGAGCTCTTCTAATGCCCTTGGCCTTCACTGCTTAGAAATTATCTAACTTTGGGTACAATTTGCTGCAGGGGCCTGAAATGTTTCATTCTATGGGGAAGAAAGTTTTATTTAGTTTATACACCCCCTAAGGCATTTGAAAACTTAGAAATTTAGCCTCATTTACTGGAGCATCTGAATAACAACTCCATGTACTTTTTTGGGTGTTTTTTTTTTTTGGTACCGGGGATCGAACTCGGACCCTTATGCTTGCGCAGCAGGCTGCGAAACCACTGAACTAAATCTCCGGCCCTCCATGTACTTTG